CTTATATAGACAGGTTTGTGGCTTTCCTAATCAAGTCCAATCAGTATATTCAAACACAGCTGGACTCAAATGAAGGTGTAGAACGATCTCAAGGATGATCAGAAGAAATGGACAGCACCTGCGTTAAATATATGAGTGTCACAGCAAAGGGACTGAATACTTGGGACCATGTGATATTTCCGTTTTTCTTTTTTAATAAATCTGCAAAAATGTCAACAATTCTGTGTTTTTCTGTCAATATGGGGTGCTGTGTGTACATTAATGAGGAAAAAAATTAACTTAAATGATTTTAGCAAATGGCTGCAATATAACAAAGAGTGAAAAATTTAAGGGGTCTGAATACTTTCCGTATCCACTGTATCTAATAAGGAACTACCTTTCTCCTAAATTTGCTACTACTTACTGCTTAGTTAATCTTGCTTCTCTATTAGTTAATAGTATTAAGTTAAGTGTTAATGTAGTACTACCTATTACTTAATGCATAGTTACTTGTTAACAACGGACCATTATTCTAAAGTGTTACCAAAAAACCCATTGTATTATGTAAAAAAAATAAAAAAAATAATTATAATTAATTATATAATATACACACACACACACACACACACACACACACACACACATATAATTATTATACTGACAAAAAAGTAAAAAAAAACAACAACAAAGAAGCAGAATATGACCCTATTACCATGTATGTCAAGGAAAGCATGGTATTGCCGTGGCACCACATCTAAAACAGTAATACAGTGGCACTTTTTGTTAGTGCTGTTTCTAAAATATATATAATGTAAATTATATACAAACTGACTTACATTGGCTAGTTTGTATCCTGAGAGTCAAACCCAATCACAGCGGTGTTGCTGGCTTGATACCTATTGAGCTACATAACCTTATATTTATAATATACATATAAAACGTTATCATTTTTTTTTTTTAATAATTGCAAGTGATTCAGCAGCCTCTATTTATAGTAGATGAGAAATGCTGGAAAACTTTAATAGTTGTTGTGGGTTATACATTTAAACATGTTTAAAGCCAAGTGAAGCAGTACACATCTTATTTATCTTAGGGCTTTAGTCTGCATTAAACGCAGAGGTGACCTTTAGTGTCTGGGGTTCAGATGAGAGAGAATTCATTAAAATTTGATCACACTTAAAGCACAGTGGAATATTGGGATATTACAGCTCCAGGCTCGATGTGTCAGTGACCTGCAGAGACTGAGGTCCAGACACAAACCTCACGGTCCGTCAGGCTTCATACAGTTGAAACTGATCTGATATCAAAGACTGAAAATCACTTTATACTGCATTCATGACAGAGAAGTAGAAGTATTTTCACTCTTTAAAATTAAAAAGATGTACTTTAAACAAACGAACAGGATTCTAAAACTATTTATTTTAGCCCATGATATCCCTTTACTTTTTTTGGTTTCACATTTGCAAGCTTGCTGTGAAGAGGGAGAAAATGCTGTTTGTGTTATTATAATTACAGAATTCTAAAGAGTGTCCTCCACTGAGACGTACACTAATGGGTTTTTACCAGTAGATGCACAAGTCTACCCTTCATGTAGGAACAAGATCCTTGTCCAGCAAGCCATGAGACATCAGTTTGATTCTCAAAAAGTCAGTTTGAGCCATGTACCTATCTGACAACCTGTCTGCTTTTGTTATCCTCACGATGGTTGAATTGCTCAAGCTTACATTGCGTTCTCAGACAAAGACCCTCAGCTTGATCTAAAGAGACATCTGATCAGTACTGTTGGTTAAAGATACAATTCTTCCTGACTAAATGATATGCCTCAGCTGTTTTTCGGTGATTGATGAACAGATGATTGCTTGATCACAACTTGGATCAGTTCTTATATAGACAGGTTTGTGGCTTTCCTAATCAAGTCCAATCAGTATATTCAAACACAGCTGGACTCAAATGAAGGTGTAGAACGATCTCAAGGATGATCAGAAGAAATGGACAGCACCTGCGTTAAATATATGAGTGTCACAGCAAAGGGACTGAATACTTGGGACCATGTGATATTTCCGTTTTTCTTTTTTAATAAATCTGCAAAAATGTCAACAATTCTGTGTTTTTCTGTCAATATGGGGTGCTGTGTGTACATTAATGAGGAAAAAAATTAACTTAAATGATTTTAGCAAATGGCTGCAATATAACAAAGAGTGAAAAATTTAAGGGGTCTGAATACTTTCCGTATCCACTGTATCTAATAAGGAACTACCTTTCTCCTAAATTTGCTACTACTTACTGCTTAGTTAATCTTGCTTCTCTATTAGTTAATAGTATTAAGTTAAGTGTTAATGTAGTACTACCTATTACTTAATGCATAGTTACTTGTTAACAACGGACCATTATTCTAAAGTGTTACCAAAAAACCCATTGTATTATGTAAAAAAAATAAAAAAAATAATTATAATTAATTATATAATATACACACACACACACACACACACACACACACACACACATATAATTATTATACTGACAAAAAAGTAAAAAAAAACAACAACAAAGAAGCAGAATATGACCCTATTACCATGTATGTCAAGGAAAGCATGGTATTGCCGTGGCACCACATCTAAAACAGTAATACAGTGGCACTTTTTGTTAGTGCTGTTTCTAAAATATATATAATGTAAATTATATACAAACTGACTTACATTGGCTAGTTTGTATCCTGAGAGTCAAACCCAATCACAGCGGTGTTGCTGGCTTGATACCTATTGAGCTACATAACCTTATATTTATAATATACATATAAAACGTTATCATTTTTTTTTTTTTATAATTGCAAGTGATTCAGCAGCCTCTATTTATAGTAGATGAGAAATGCTGGACAACTTTAATAGTTGTTGTGGGTTATACATTTAAACATGTTTAAAGCCAAGTGAAGCAGTACACATCTTATTTATCTTAGGGCTTTAGTCTGCATTAAACGCAGAGGTGACCTTTAGTGTCTGGGGTTCAGATGAGAGAGAATTCATTAAAATTTGATCACACTTAAAGCACAGTGGAATATTGGGATATTACAGCTCCAGGCTCGATGTGTCAGTGACCTGCAGAGACTGAGGTCCAGACACAAACCTCACGGTCCGTCAGGCTTCATACAGTTGAAACTGATCTGATATCAAAGACTGAAAATCACTTTATACTGCATTCATGACAGAGAAGTAGAAGTATTTTCACTCTTTACAATTAAAAAGATGTACTTTAAACAAACGAACAGGATTCTAAAACTATTTATTTTAGCCCATGATATCCTTTACTTTTTTTGGTGTCACATTTGCAAGCTTGCTGTGAAGAGGGAGAAAATGCTGTTTGTGTTATTATAATTACAGAATTCTAAAGAGTGTCCTCCACTGAGACGTACACTAATGGGTTTTTACCAGTAGATGCACAAGTCTACCCTTCATGTAGGAACAAGATCCTTGTCCAGCAAGCCATGAGACATCAGTTTGATTCTCAAAAAGTCAGTTTGAGCCATGTACCTATCTGACAACCTGTCTGCTTTTGTTATCCTCACGATGGTTGAATTGCTCAAGCTTACATTGCGTTCT